TTTGGCTCAAACATTATTTAAATGTCACACTTTATAGTAAAGAAGCTCGAAATATCAAATACATTGAATGTAAATGATTGGAAGACCAAACTTGACCGGTATTTAATATCGAATCAAGTACTAAGGGCCACAACTTGGGATGTACACAAGGAAGATGCTTAAGCGGCCAAAATAATTGAAGACAAAAATAAACCTGCGTTAAATGCAAAAACAGGTACATCCGTACATAGACCTATAGCATGTGACGCACACTTCCAGCGGCTAAAAGATTATTGAAGACAGCCGCATTAAAAGCTCCAGCACAAGAAGACGAATGTACAATTCGTCCTTGCCAAATCTTCAACGAACGGTATTAATCCATCCTAACCAACGGATGAGATTAATCAACTGGAGAAGCCTATAAATATAGGCTGAAACGAAAGTTTCTAACCAAGCTTGAGCATCCTAAGTAGAGAGATATTTCTATTAAGCATTCACGAAATATCTAGCAAAAGAGAAAGTGCTATTCTATAATTTACTCTCTGCTTAGACTCTTGCTTCACTAAACTCCTTAGTCTCAAGTGTTAATTGCTAAATCCTAGAAGTTTAGTTCCTAGTTGGATGTTAGAACTTTCTTGTAAACAAATCAGATGGTGTTGTAAACACTTAAGAGAACAGTTGTTCGGATCCTAAAGTGTGGTTTGATATATAGAGTACCTTTTGATCCCCACTGGATCAATTGAGAAAAGTCTAAGGATTGAGCAACTTGGAGTGGTGTTGTACTCCTCGTGAAACACCTTCAATCTAGGCCAGAGTTTGCGAGGCTAGATTGGCACTAAGTGTATTGGGGCTTAATACATTAATGAAATCCATTTGAAATAGGATGGGACTGGATGTAGGAGGATTACACCACCTCTGAACGAGGATATACTGTGTGTTGATTTATTTTCAGTCAACAAAGCACACACTGAACACTTCTCATAAAAGATTGTAGTTTGCCAGCAGCATCCTAAGCAGCAGTCTTAATTGATCCTACTGCTTATCCTACTGCTTAATAACTCACTTTCTTAGAGATACAAGAGCTTTACAATATCACAACTATAAGGTCTGTTCCATTACATTTCAGAAAATCTTACTTAAGGCATAGTAGTTGCCTCAGCAGTCCCCTGGTAATTACCCAACTGCTGAGCCCACTGCTCACACAAAAGTATTTCCCTTGAACATCTCAAGTTCATCAGACCTTCACAACTCTATTTCTAAGAAGTCTGTTCAAACTGATCTCTGCAATTCAAAGTGGTAACCCAGCAGGTGCCTGAGCAGTTCCCTCACTATTACCCAACTGCCGAGACAACTGCTCCAGTAAAACTTCAGTTTACTTACACTTGAGAATATCTTCATAAACCTCTCATCACCTTGAGCAATGCTGTATAATCAATGCTGTATAAAGAGATATTTCTATTAAGCACTCACGAAATATCTAGCAAAAGAGAAAGTGCTATTCTATAATTTACTCTCTGCTTAGACTCTTGCTTCACTAAACTCCTTAGTCTCAAGTGTTAATTGCTAAATCCTAGAAGTTTAGTTCCTAGTTGGAGGTTAGAACTTTCTTGTAAACAAATCGGATATTGTTGTAAACACTTAGGAGAACAGTTGTTCGGATCCTAAAGTGTGGTTTGATAGATAGAATACCTTTTGATCCCCACTGGATCAATTGAGAAAAGTCTAAGGATTAAGTAACTTGGAGTGGTGTTGTACTCCTCGTGAAACACCTTCAATCTAGGCCAGAGTTGTCAAGGCTAGATTGGCACTAAGTGTATTGGGGCATAATACATTAGTGAAATCCATTTGAAATAGGATGGGACTGGATGTAGGAGGATTACACAACCTCTGAACCAGGATATACTGTGTGTTGATTTATTTTCAGTCAACAAAGCACACACTGAACACTTCTCATAAAAGATTGTAGTTTGGCAGCAGCATCCTAAGCATCAGTCTTAATTAATCCTACTGCTTATCCTACTGCTTAATAACTCACTTTCTTAGATATACAAGAGCTTTACAATATCACAACTATAAGGTCTATTCTATTACATTTCAGGAAATCTTACTTAAGGCATAGCAGTTGCCTCAGCAGTCCCCTGGTAATTACCCAACTGCTGAGCCCACTGCTCACACAAAAGTATTTCCCTTGAACATCTCAAGTTTTTCAGACCTTCACAACTCTATTTCTAAGAAGTCTGTTCAAACTGATCTCTGTAATTCAAAGTGGTAACCCAGCAAGTGCCTCAGCAGTTCCCTCACTATTACCCAACTGCCGAGACAACTGCTCCAGTAAAACTTCAGTTTACTTACACTTGAGAACATCTTCAGAAACCTCTCATCACCCTGAGCAATGTTGTATAATCAATCTTGCCATACCTTCACTTTCACTTAAGTAGGTGCCTCGGCAGTTCCCTGGTTACCATCCAACTGCTGAGACCACTGCTCTCATTAAAGTTGATTATAAATCCATCTCATTACATCATCAGACAGCCCTTTTCATTCTGAAAAGGATTCTGCTTGCACTTTCTCAATACACTCAACATTTGCTCAGCAGTTGCCTCAGCAGCTCCCTGACATCCAGTCAACTACCAAGCCAATTGCTCACCATATTAAGTCCAAACTTCATCCATCAAAGAAAGTTGTTATACACTATTTATCTAAGAGGTTAAAGACTTCCGTTGTGCATCTATAAATCTCCCAAAAGATTATAGATCAACTCTTTAGAGGGAGAAACGCTTTAAAGTTGAGAAAGATTTAAAAGTCTATTCACCCCCCCCCCCCCTCTAGACTTTTACCTTTATCAGGGACCATTACAAAGGTTATTTATTGTCGAGCAGAGCTTGAAGAAAAGGTGGCAATCATATTGTATTGTACGCGATAATAAAGATTAAAGAGTGAAGAAGGTGATCAGATTTTCAGCTGTTAAGATTATTCGACACACAGGACTTCAATCTCAAAGTTGAGATGCGAATTGGGCTGTATACGCCAAACTGGAAATTCACCAGCACCATAGGCAAAGTCGGGAGTGCACTTTAATAAATCAATTTCTCCTACTTGCATTCCCAAAACACCTTCATCCCACCCTTTGATAACACTTCCTTGACTAATTTTAAAAGAAAAAGGCTCATGCTCAGGATCTTTTGTGCTCCACAATATCTTAGAAAGATCTCTATCTTTGCTGTAGTCGGTGCAGTGGACGGTGACGGTCTGACCACGAACTGGCTTGGGATCGGTACCTTCTCTCACAAGTTCCTTCTCGACTCCCATTTCGTATGTGATTTGAATGATCTTCTGATTCTATTTCGTATTCTTTTTATACATGTTTATTATTTTGACCTCCAAAATTTGTATGATTTATTAAGTTTCTTTTCAGGCTTATGCACACCTGATATGAACAACGGGTATGTTGTTCACTGGTGACGCTGGTGAAGACCTGAGTTTCCATGTTGATTGTTTTTGTGAATGTACTACTTTGACCTTGCTTATGTTATGCCCTTGGTTACACTCCGCATGGATGATTCTAATAATGTTACTTGGTTCTTAATGCTGGTCAGAGAGCCCATTATTCCTGGCACCAATAAACCTTTCAAGGTTAGCGTAAAAAAACAATACTTATAAGTTTTTTTCCCAATTTGTCTGAAAATTACATTATCAATCTAATGCATTTTACACTCTTCCAGACAAGTATAGTGTTTTCTCTTGACGAAGGCCCTGGTGTTCTTTTTAAGCAACTTTTTGTTTTCGCTATGAGGATTATCAACCTTACAAAGGTGAGTACATTTCGCTATGACCTTCGTCCACCTATCTCAACTCCAGCAGAAATTAAGAAATCAAAATTCAACAGGGCGATATGCAGAAAATCCTAGTTTGTCACCTCAGAAACTTGCTTGCCGACGGAAAATTTGAACACACAACTCAAGATTTACAGGAAATCTCAAAAAAATAAAAGGCCCCACAGTATGAAGACTAGGTCCCAGTCTAGAGAATTCCCTTGGGTTTAGTTTTGAGGCTTTTCTTTATCTGCATTTTTATTGTTTTCCTTCTCTTTTTTCCTTTTTGCTTTGTACTATTTTACTCTCTATCAACAAAATTCCCATTTCCTCAAAAAAAAGGTGAGTACGTTTTAAAAGTGAATGGATTTGTAGACATAATCACTGTTGTCAGCCTGTCACTGATTTACTTTATGTTTCAGATTGAAAGTCATCCATTGCACTCCTTGCAGAAGATGGGTATGTAAATAATTGACAGTAACAGTGATGGTTTTCCTAAGTACATTCATTGGCAACTTTCTTTTGCTTTATAATTGCATATGCTAGAAGTGTAGGCTGTGTAGATAAACTAGATTACCAATTTATGGTTCACCTATTTTTGCTGATATTCCTTTCAACGTTGGTGCAGATATTTTCCCTATCTGTTTTATGTGGATTTTGAAGCATCCATGGCCGAGGAAAGAGTCCAAAATGCTTTAGGCAACCTAAAGGTTCTGATACGTATGTAAAAGCCTCCTTTCATTTTAGTCGCACTTGAGTTTTGTTTTGAGACTAATAGAAGTACCTATCCTAGGAATTTGCTAAAGTTTAGAGAGTCTTGGGGAGTTATCCAGCAGATAATGGAATGCTTGACATTTGAACCTGGTATGCCATGCTTTTATCATCTCTAGGGAATTTTTATGTATTCATAGCTCTTTTGTGAAGAAGTATTTGTATTTTTGATAAATTATACAGAGGTTTTCCCTAAATATCACTGAAATGATGTCCAGAAAACCACAAATAAACATAACTAAATGGTCACTTTCAGCACCATCATAGTCACTTTAGAAGCCCATTAACTTAAAATATTATCAGATTAAAGGCCTAATTTCTTAAATTGAAAAATAACCCTTCTCCAAAATCCTGATAGATAACACAACGCACAACATAAATATATGTATATTGATCAATGGATTCTGAGAATAACTTAGGTATCCTTAGGGAATTACACTGAAAAATAGCGATAGAAGAGAATCCTTTCATCTCAAATTTTAGATCTTGTCTATGTTTATTAGTTTGGTGCCTCATTTATTTGAACCAATGGACAAACTTCTCTTCAGTTCTTCTAGCATCACATTTCTTTCATCTGTCATTTTAGTTACTTCTTCTATATCAGTTAAGGTAATATCCCCTTTTATTAGAGTTATAGGGTCTTGCCCGTATAAAACCTTCAAAAATCCATTTACTTTTGTCACGTGCAGATTATTCCTATAGTTAATTTTTAGTCATTTGAAGTTTTATTTGTTGGTATATTTTGTTACTGATTTTAACTCTGCTACTCTTTCTATTCAGACTTCTGTAGTTTCAAAAGTCAGTGTTGCCCCCGTTGGTTTTACGAGTTTTGGTAACACCGATGGAACATGTTTGGGAGCTTCAGACCCCCCCCCCCCCCCCCCCCCCCCGCAATATTGTATCTGGTTGTCGAGATGATGTTACTGCACGGTGCTGATAGTTTTTCAGACCTTTTGTTCATTATTTGAGTTATGGAGTATAGTGTAAAGTGATGTTAATAAGTTAGGGTGCAAATTATAGATATTTCAAATTTTCAAATCATCGTGCTTGCTGAAATGCATAGTATTAGTGTATAACTACGTGTGTTTCTCTACCATCTTATAAGCATGAATAGGGGTAAGGGTTCAAATGGTATGCAAAAAATGTTGGTGTAACTCAAAGCAAAAATTAGTTGTACTCTAACCTTAATGCCATGTACGTAATCTTCGTTTTTGTTATAGTTATTGCCTCATACCTGTCGAACTGGCAGTGCTCAATTGTTTTTGGAAATATAGAGACACTAGCTCAATGGTTAATTCACCTTTTAATAGCTGCTGCAATTGCTTTTGAGACTATACCTCCAACATTGGTCCAAAACTGTGGGGTGACTGTGATTTGGACAATGACTGCAATGCAGGGGAAGGTAATCAATTTAGGTGTGCACTTGAATAATTGATGTAAGTTTCTTGTTGGAGTCTGGAATATAAATTTAATGCCTTATGTTTAGCATGCAAATGGTGAGAATGCATGGACATGGATAGATGGAAATACTAGGGAGGTTGCTGATATGAAAGAATGAAAGGTATGATCTTTTGTTCTGTACTACCCTCTTTCTACTTCAGATGCTCACAACATCCTACAAAAATCAAATCCTTCAAACCTTGAGACTGAAACATTTATTACCTTGTCTTGACTGGCTTTGTAAAAATTTCAGATCTGTGATTCTTACACTGTTAAAGCACAAACTTTTAAGTCTGCCATTGAAGCTGCTTGTATGCTTCTGAGAATTGATGACATTGTAAGCGGTATAAAGAAAAAGCAAACCCCTGATGCAGGCCAGGCTCCATCAAAGCTTTTTTTGAGTATTTAGGATCCATGTGTAAGTGTTTCTTCTTTGCTGTTTGGGTGTGCTGAGTTCCATGGTCATTTAGGACTTGTTGCCATTGTTTCAATAGATAATGTTCAACTGAATTGGCTTTGTTCTTTATTTCATTTCCTATTTGTATATGATCATCAATATTCTGCTAAATGAAACTTTTTGGCTTGAAGCTCATATAGCAAAAGCCATGTGTGGAACTAACTGGAAATCTAAATGAGTTCAAACCTTGTAGCTTTATTTGCAATTACAATTTTTTTAACACATTAGCAAGTGTTTTCATATTGAGTGTTCTCAATATAATTGATCATGGTATGACTTACACTTTTCCACTCACTCAGTGTAAGATGTGATTTTATCTTGGCTTGGTGATTGCACATTTCTATTACTTTGTATGGAGCATTAAAGTTTAGTACGTAGATAGGTTTAAGAGCTTAAATATATGTGTTGAACTCTTTCTTTAACCTTCACATGGCTAGATTCAATGAAACATGCTTCCGTGAACAACCAAATAGTTCTTATATTTGCTTCATTGTGTTAGAGAAAAGCGGTATATTATGATAAATATTAAAGATTACAAAAACCTGACATGTATGCTTATTACTCCCCATGTCTCTAAAAACTTTGCCATCTTTGAATTTTTTGGACTATCAAGTTCAACTTTAACCAATTATATATTTGTATAGAAAGTTATTTATAATACAAAAATGACATGATTTTTTTTTTAAAGTACTTTCATAAAAATATAAAATTTATAAATTCTCAAATATTTATATTAATTAAAATCATGCTCTAAACCTTATCATCATTTATTTGAAGAGTCAAACATGGCAAAGTTTAAGGGTACAAAGGTAGTACTTCTTTTTATCAATTAAAACATATTGGGTATTTTTCCTATCGTGCGTTAGAAATTGATGATATATACTTCTTTTTAAAAAGTAAATTATATTGGGCATTTATCCTATCACGCAGCGTGCGTAAAAAAACTAGTATCATATATGTATGGTTAGGGATGGACCGGGACTGGTCGGACCGGCCCGGTACCCGGCCCGGACTGCCACTATGCGGTATCGATTTAACCAGGTTGACCAGTACCGGACCTTGGGCCCGAACCGGGGGGGTTTGGGGCGGGTTACGGGCTGCAGCCCTCTTGGAATCGGCCCGGCCGGTTCGGGACCGGTCCAGGCCCAAAATGTTTTGTTTTATTTTTTCGAATGGATTGGGTGGTAGGCGGGTTGGTTTGGGTGGTTTGGGGGTGTTTTGGGGTGGGGGTGGGGTAGGAATAAATAAGAAAAACAAAATTTTAAAAAGTATATATATAAGACCTGACGGCCCGGTACCGGCCTGGTACCGGCCCGGTCCCGGAACCTACCTGGGCCGGTACCGGGCCTCCAACTCCCAAACCCAATCCCGCCCAAGGCCCGACCCGGACCTCGTCCTGATCCGGGCCCGGTCCATCCCTATATATGATACACTATTGCAAAAATCTTAACACCAGCAAAGCAAGAGCTAAGTGGGAGCTAGAGCACAAGGAGTTTGGAAGCCACGCTGGTTGAAGAGGATATCTTTTTTCTCTTTTTGTGATTCACTTTAAGTTTAAGGATGTTTTTACTTGGACTGTAATTCCTCCCAGACCAGACCAGATCAGACCAGACTTGGATAGTTATAAAAATACAAAGAAACCAGACCAGCAAATTACAGTCCAAGTAAAAACATCCTAATTCATAGTAGTGCTTTTCATCGTTCAAGTCAATTTGTTTTTTGGAACTAGGTGGATGTGCAAGAGCCTCTTCAGTCTAGTTTAAATTTTATCTAATTAGAACTTAGAAGCTTTCAAGGTCGAATTTATTTTCAAAGTTCTCGTATAGTTAGCGTCTTAGTGGAACGATCTGTACAACATGAGATGTTCGCTTCTTTGTCTGATTAAAGATTGAGATGACTTTCCCATTTGGAGTCAAGTTGAGAAAAGAGTAGTGGTTTAGATTCTGATATAAAAGCTATGATCAATTTAATGTCAATATAAGCATTTTTCATTCAAAAAAATGAAAGCCCGTTGTTTGTTTTTATGTTTACTGTATAACAAAAAAAAACATAGTATTATTGATTTTTCATGGTCAAGAAAGACACACAAGAAACTGGAATGCTGTTTTTAGGGAAAGCCTGAGAGAAGAGATGAGGAAAATACTTAGGAACCACTTGATGCGTTTATATTTTATAGGGTGTCTCTAAATTCGAAAGGCTTGTGTAAAATTTATCCATTCATACTTTCATGGTACATAACTTAAAAGTGTTGACTAGCTTTAATGCATTTTTCTGAATCCCTATAACAATAATTTGGACCAAAAGATGTGTACTTGATCTGTTTGTTACAGCACTATCTAGTTTACTGTTAGAGCCTGCTTCATGTTATGTAAACTGTAAAGCCTATTATTGATGAATTGGCTGAATTATTTAATTAATTCATTTAAACTATAAGAGTACTTTTATAATAAATTGTTTTAAAAAAAATCCAATTATGATTAAAAAAACTAAAATGTATGCCATTTTAGGAAGATGAACCAAAGAAAGATACTCTATTTTTTCTATTTCAAGCACGCTGTAAAATAAGGTTAATGGTAAGGAGTAATCTTATTTATTAGACTGTCCTCTGTGAAGAACTTACCAGCCAGTCACTTAAATGTGTTTTTAAATACAGTAATATAATGATTTGCTAAAAAAGGTCCTTTATCTCAATAATCATAAATTCAATTACGTTTCTGATTGTCTACTAAAATATTGGCGCCCACTATTACAAATTTACAATACTGTCGTTCACGGATTCCAAATGAGTAGTAGATTTAGCTTGCTCAAGATGTTGTAGGAAGTCCATCACAATGGGATCCGTCCAGGGAGCTCCATTTGGGGCCTCCGAGCCAGCCAGCCATCCAAGATGCCCACCTTGAGGTGTCACTATCAGCAAACAATTTGGGTTTTCCTGGGGAAACACAAATCATAGCATTAGGTGTCCATTTAGCGGCAATTAATTTTACCTGATCATTCAGATTTCAACTGAACAGTGAATGAAAAAGTAGCGCAAAATTTAATTATTTAAACCGGATGAAGGGAAATGGCATTTTCTACCCTCATTTTGTAGATCATATTTTCTTCAATTCATTCAAAATAATATTGTGCTTCAGCCAATTCATCAACTTAGCCTTTTCCGAGGGAGGGCGAACTCCATAAATAATAGGAGGGGGGGAAATAGAGAGTTGGGAAGGTGCTGCCATGGAGGTTTACTGTTGCCATTTAAGTATCACCTCAGTGATGGTGTGAACTGTGAAGCTCTGAATGTAAGTTGACAAACTTTACATTCATGGGCCAACCTATATTGCTAAGATAGGCAATGGGATGCTTGCTGCATAAGAAAGTCTCTTATGTTAACATTAGAAGCAACAATTTGTACCACAGGGATCTGGAAACGAAGAGTGGGGGTGGAGGAGAGGGCATACCTGAGTGCCATTGCCAAACCAAGAGAACCCACTGTGGCACAACAAACCTGCGAGGGAGGCTGCTCATGGCATAACCCTTTGATGAAGTGTCAGCAGTTGCCTGGTAAAACAAGGAACCGATGTAGTGGCATACCATTTGATGTTTCGCTGTTACCAATGTACACTTAGCTTGGAAGGGTTTGATGGGTTGAACACGCAATATAAGCAATTCCTTCATTTCAGGGTCAATAAACTATGTATAGTGCTGATCTCGGCCCATATCCACTGAGGGTGGTGGCAGCCGCCACCTTCTAGTGTGAGAGATGTCACCTGCGATTTCTTTCACTTCGTTGAAATCTTAATTGGCTATGCCGGGTTCTTTTGTTTCCCCATCACCTTTGTCTATCCCAATAAGCAACTCGAGTTTTATTTCTACACTGATAAACCAGGGAGATCCCCTGTATAGAGAAAAATGGAGTCTTATATTGACCTCCATTCCTGTACTTCTGCAGCTTTCACTGGTCACAAGGGCATCTGGGAAATAGCATTTGCGCAAGGGGGCATTTGGAGCAGTCTCTGGCTTCAGATGAGTCTGATTGCATGGCAATTGAAAACCAGGAGGTGTCGGTTCCACCCTTGTACAAAGCACGGGTGTCCAGAATGATATCTTAAAATCTGGCCTCGAAAGCCTTGCCTAACTTGAGGGCATCTAAGAAATGGGTTTGATTCCTATGAAAAATAAGAGCAAGAGGTACTAGATTTTCCTTTGACCTTGTTCATCAGTTTCTAAAACCGGGCTTGAAATTCCATCACAGAGCCTTCCTGCATCAGCTTGGAGAGTTGGATAGTCTGCAAACTGAAGTGAGCTGAAACTTTCTAACACTTTATCCAAAAATCCAAGCAAACCTTGTACCATTATGTTTTTCTTTGCCCATCTATAGTCTATACCCTTCAAGGGCGTTCTATTACAAGTAACTCAGACTATCCCAACCACTGATCTTCCGAGCTCAGTGGTAGTCGAAGTTGCTGAGTAACAACTTACAACTTCATATCTTATAAAGAATAGCGCTATGCTTATATAGAGGAATAATGACCCAAAACCTGACCCATATCTTCTAGAAAATTTAATAGCAACTGATGAGGATCAATACTAATTTGGGCAGATCTAATTTCTTGGAGTGATGGTGTGGCAGAGTGGTGCAAAGTATGCAGCTTCAGATGTAGACATTCAACTAGCAGTTGTGGACGAGACTACTGGTGTCACGGTTACACTGCCAAAATTTGGCAACTGAGTTGAGTGTGAAGGTTCTCAATTAGTTGGTCTTTGCCATGGAGTTCTAGGGGAGTAATGGGATTTGTCTGTCGTGGTGGATAGTGTTATAAGGTGGTGGAAGTAACTCAAGTAAGTTCGAAAATTTCAACTCTCAATGGAAGAACAAGTGGTACGAACCCAGAGGTTTATTGAAAATGCCCTTCGCAAGCCAAAGAGAACTCCAGAAATTATAGAAGTGATTGGAGAGAAGCAAGACACTTGGGAACATTTTAAATACTTAAATTCATATCTTGAGATGATATCTCAATCAACTTAAATAGAAAGGTAAATGCTAAAATGTAATCATGGTTCCACATAAAAGGAACTGCCACATAACTAACAAAAACTCATGCATGGCATAATCTTTGAAGTGACATGGTAACTCTTTCCTGAGTTCCTGTGTGAGGTTTACCCCTTGTTGCCATTTCTTGCAAGCCTTACCCCTTTTGGGGTTTCAGTATGTGATTATGCATGACATTGGGTGTATCATTGATGAGTGTTCTGCGATGTCATGCGTGTATCATTAAAATTTCATCAAAATTGTCCATCCATCCATTTCAATCATTTCAATAAAAAATTACCCTCACCAAATGAGGCTCTAGAGCACTGAGAAGTTTCAGTGCAAAACTGATAAAATTTAGAGTCATCATAGGAACGTGTATCTTAAAATTTCTGGATGAGCAACAATATTAGGACACCGTCATCTCATGTTATTTCTCATGCAAGTGGGAAACCTAAATGATAATGGCAGTTATGTGATTCAATCTCATTATTTTTTCCTGAGAATGTCAGAGCAGGAAACAATTACCTCGATATCTTTATGTGGGATCCCTCTTGATGGAGCAATTGGATCATTTGCAGCCTGCAAACGCAAATTGGTATTAGTCTAAGACTTCAAACAGATCGCATTCACTATCATGAGCCCTAGAGATAATATAATTAGCAGGACGGGTGAGTATTATATCATATAAAGAGTTTTACTCTGCTCAGAATCTGGTTCGTCAAATGTATATACGAAGTATATTTTTCAAGTAGGAGGAAAATGGAGGGCAGTTTGTTTTTCTAGGTACATGTTGATGGCTGAACAATGGAAAAGAGAGAGTGGTTATTTCCATCTGGGTACACGTGTGTTGGTGGCTGCAAAACACGTTTAGAAATGCAACTGACTTGTTTGAGTCATAAAATCATGTTTGCAGTGTTCTGTTTAACACCATAAATAGCAGCCTGAATTTTTCTTGAGCAAAGAAAACAATAATTTCCATCATTTGCAAAGGTGATAGGGATCCGGCTAGTCTAACTAATAAGAATAGATACTATGGGAGAGTATATTCTAGAAGACCCAAATAGACTAGCGTGTTATTAGTTAATGGCTGTTAGTAACTAATAACGACCTTCTGTTTTTAGAAGGCTATAAATAGAATAAAGTCGCTGAGGGAAGGCAGGCTGTTTAGACTTTGAGTCTGGGACTGGGAAGTTGGAGTTTTATCTCCTTCTTTGGGACTCTGTACACTGTTCATCTCTGTTAATGAAGTTTGGTTACTTTTTCATCTTTTGTTCATATTCCTGTGATTTCCTTCTGTGATTTGTGAGGACTTATCATTGGTATCAGAGCAATTCGATCGCTGGATGAGATATACGCGCGCCAAAATGGAAGGGAGGGTCAACGAGGTGGAACGAAGCCAGCATGACATGCAGGCGAGTATGGACAATATGGCGGCAAATATGGCGGAAATGCAAGCAGCGATCCAAGCTAGCATTGCGGACTTACAGGTTCAGATCAATCATCGATCGAGGAGCAATTCGCAGAGGTCGAACAACTCTCATCGAACAACACATCACAGGCATTCAAGGAATGATGATTCTTCTGGTGACTCGGATAATCAATCGAATCACACAGTTTCGCGAGTTGAGTATGAGCCGCGACGGAATCACAGAAACAATCCGAGTATGGGGAGGAAGATTGATCTGCCGGTTTTAAGTGGAAAGGATGTTAGCGGATGGCTGTTGAGGATGAACCGGTATTTCCGGTTGAATAGAACTGCGGAAGAAGAGAAGTTGGATGTTGCAGTGATCGCCTTGGAAGATCAAGCTCTTAGCTGGTTCCAATGGTGGGAGAGACAAGCATTACACTTAAATTGGGACGCATTTACTAAGGCGTTGACCAGGAGATTTCAACCGGAAGTAGTACAGGATCCTTTGGGACCTCTATTCAGTCTGAAGCAGAAAGGTTCTATCGCTGATTATAGAAACCAATTTGAAACAGCCATTTCATCTCAGGAACACCTATCTGAAGAAGTGCTGAAAGGAGTCTTCCTCAAGGGTTTGAAGAGGGATATAAGGGCAGAGTTGAAGCTGTATACTACCAGGACTCTAGCTGAGGTAATGGATACTGTGTCCTTGATTGAAAACAAAAACAATGAAGCTGTATTTGTGAAGAACAAGGAGGAAGGTAAGAAAAAGAGTCAGAACAAGATGATCAGTCAATCTCAGGGACAAAATTGGAATGAAAACAGCAGGTGGAGGAGTCATCCTGGAAGTACTAACAACTCTGGTAATGCATCTAAGGTGATAATGGATAATAAAAACAACAGTGAAGGGAAGGAATTGAAGAAGCAGGGACCTAGATTATCTCAGGAAGAATTGCTGCAGAGGAGCAAGAAGGGCTTATGTTTTAAGTGTGGTGAAAATTGGGGAAGAGGACACATTTGCAAAATGAAAAATTACAAGATGATTTTGGTGGAAAATTCAGAGGGAGAGGAGATCTCTGATGTGGAGTATGTTGAATCAGAAGGGGATAAATCCAACACTTCAATTCAGATGGACATGAATAACATGCAGCTGTCCATTTTAAGCAAGGAAGGCATTCCATCAATGACTACTTTCAAGGTGAAGGGTAAAATACAATGGCAAGAGAGAGAGATGCAGGTGACTATTCTCATTGATAGTGGGGCCACTCACAACTTCATGTCCAGAGCTTTAGCAGAAAGGTGGAATATACCTTATAATCCGATCAAGGGATATAAGGTACAAATAGGGAATGGAGACTGCATACCTAATTTGGGCAAGTGTACTGAAGTTGGTATAAATGTACATTTTTCATCATCATTTTCATTTACCCCAGTGCCGCAAAGGCTCCCACCTACGGTGAGGTAATGGGGGGTCGGATGTACGCGGTCTTACCCCTGTACTAAAGCATAGAGAGACTGTTTCCGGATGACCCATAGTGAAAATCGCGTCCAAAATTGCATAGACTGACTGTTGCTTCATAACAAAGAAGCGCAGACAGTTTAGTGAGCCAGTTTGCTTTATTCCATCATAATTTCAAGCCAAAAAATGATGAATCTTTGGCTCCATTGCAAATGATGGAGTTGGTATAAATGTACAAGGAGTGGAAATTCATCAAACCTTCTATCTACTGGATCTAGGAGGTGTTGATTTAGTCCTGGGAATGGAATGGTTGACTGAACTGGGAGACATGGAGATCAATTTTAAACAACAAATAATCAAATGGAGGAGTCAGGGAGGCACTTGCATCATCAAAGGGAATCTGGTATCAAATCAGATGGAAGTTTCAATGAAAACTATGGCCCAAATATATCACCAGGTGGGGGATGGCTATCTGTTATACTATGAAGCACAGCGGGAGAAGCAAGAACAGAAATCAGAAATTGGAGGAGATTGGGAAATGTTGATTGCAGAATTTCCAGAGGTTTTCTCAGCTACTCTGAAATTTCCACCTGCCAGAGATTGTGATCATGCAATTAATATCAAGGAGGGAGTTAATATTCCAAATCTCAGACCTTACAGGTATTCATTTGACCAAAAGAATGAAATAGAGAAAATCATTGGAGAAATGCTGAAATCTGGAATTATTAAAAATAGTAATAGTCCTTACAGTAGTCCCATTTTATTGGCAAGGAAGAAAGATGGCGGTTGGAGGTTTTGTGGGGATTATAGGGCCCTTAATAGGGTGACTGTACCTGATAAGTTTCCAATACATGTGATAGAGGAGCTTTTGGATGAATTAGGTGGTGCCCGAATATTTTCTAAGTTGGATCTTAAATCGGGATACCATCAAATTAGAATGAAGGCAGAGGATACTCATAAGACAGCTTTCCGGACTCACGAAGGACATTATGAGTATTTAGTCATGCCATTTGGGCTGACTAACGCTCCATCAACTTTTCAGTCACTCATGAATGAGGTCTTGACACCTTTCTTAAGGAGATTTGCCTTGGTGTTCTTCGATGATATCTTGGTTTACAGCAAAACAAGAGAAGATCATAAAGAACACATAAGAATGGTATTGGGGGCTTTGCAGAAGAATCAGTTGGTAGCTGATCTGAAGAAATGCTCTTTTGGCCAAAGACAGTTGAGTTATTTGGGACATATCATTTCATCAGAAGGAGTGGCAGCTGATCCTGAAAAAATTTGGCTATGAAGAAGTGGAATATCCCTAAAGATCTGAAGGAACTAAGGGGATTTCTAGGCCTAACGGGGTATTACAGGAGGTTTGTGAGAGGTTACAGTAAGATTGTTGCCCCTCTCACTTTATTATTAAAAAAAGATTGTTTTAAATGGAATGAGATGGCTACCAAAGCTTTCCAAGAACTGAAGGATGCTATGGTTTCAGTACCAGTTCTAAGGGTGCCTGATTTTAACAAACTGTTTGTAGTTGAGACAGATGCTTCAGGAAAGGGGTTGGGGGCTGTGCTTATGCAGGAGGGAGGTCCAATAGCTTACATGAGTAAACAATTGTCTCCCAAACATCTGAGTAAATCTGTGTATGAGAAAGAATTGATGGCTAATGTTTTTGCTATTCAGAAATGGAGACCTTGTCTTCTTGGAAGACATTTTGAAGTACATACTGACCAAAAGAGTTTAAAATATCTGACTGAACAGAAGGTGATGGGAGAAGATCAACAAAAATGGATAGCTAAGCTGATGGGTTACAATTTCACCATTAGATACAAACCAGGAATTGAGAACAAAGCTGTTGATGCTCTCTCCAGGAAGTCTACTTATGCAGGTTTATCCACGTTATCTTGCCAGGAATGGGAGGGCTTGGAAGAAGAACTGGAGAAAGACCTAAAATGGGGGGATGTTATTCAGAAAATGTTGATTCAGCCAAACCAATACACATATTACAAGATGAAAGGAGGGTTATTATACTACAAAGGGAGGTTGGTTTTGCCAAAAGGATCCCCTAGAATTTTGATTATTCTCAGGGAATACCATGATTCTGTTGTTGGAGGTCATTCAGGTTATTTCAGGACTATGAAGAGGATTGCCAACTTGTTTTTTTGGGTGGGCATGAGATCTGACATCAAGGATTATATTCAGGGGTGTGAAATCTGTCAGAGGAATAAGTACCAGGCTCTGAAGCTTGCAGGTTTGTTACAGCCCTTACCAATACCTGAACATGTGTGGATGGATATAAGCATGGATTTCATTGGAGGTCTACCAAAATCACAAGGCAAAGATACTATTCTAGTTGTGGTGGATAGACTAACAAAGTTCTCACACTTTATACCTCTGACACACCCTTTTAATGCCAAAGGAGTAGCTGAAGTCTTTGTTCAGGAGGTAGTCAGGATACATGGATTTCCAAAATCAATTGTCAGCGATAGAGACAGTCTTTTCTTGAGCTCTTTCTGGTCAGAATTGTTCAGATTGGCAGGGACCAAGCTCAAATATAGCACTGCGTACCACCCACAGAGTGATGGGCGTACCGAAGTGGTCAATAGATGTTTAGAGACCTATTTGAGGTGTTTAAGTGGAAAGAAACCTAGACAATGGGTCAAGTGGCTTCCTTGGGCAGAGTATTGGTTCAATACCAACTATCACAGCTTCTTGAAAAGTACCCCTTATCAAGCTCTGTTTGGGCAACCCCCACCTGCCTTCATCAGGGGTGATGTCAGTTTGACATCAGTGGATGAGGTGGCAAAGTTGACAGCTGAGAGAAACTGTATTTTGTCTGAATTGAAGGAAAATTTGGCCAGAGCACAGAATTTGATGCAGCAGCAAGCTGATAAACATAGAAGGGAAGAGGTGTTTGAAGTGGGAGACAAAGTTTTTTTAAAGATACAACCCTACAAGATGAAAAGTTTGGCTAGAAGAATCAATCAAAAACTGAGTCCAAGATTTTATGGGCCCTATGAAATTTCAGAAAAACTAAGCCCTGTAGCTTACAGATTGAAGTTACCTGAGGGAAGTAGAATACACCTTGTATTCCACATTTCGTTGCTGAAGAAAGTGCTGAAACCCACAGTGTATTATCAAAACCTCCCAGATTGCCTCACAGAAGAATGTGAGTTGCAAGTGAGACCTGAAACTGTGAGAGACAGTAGGCTTAATCAGGAAGGGAAGAAAGAGATCCTAGTGCACTGGAAGGACCTTCCTGATTTCGAAGACTCATGGGAGGATGTTCAAATGATCCAGAATCAGGACAAGTTGGTTCTGCAAGGAGGGGGTATTGATAGGGATCCGGCTAGTCTAACTAATAAGAATAGATACTATGGGAGAGTATATTCTAGAAGACCCAAATAGACTAGCGTGTTATTAGTTAATGGCTGATAGTAACTAATAACGACCTTCTGTTTTTAGAAGGCTATAAATAGAATAAAGTCGCTGAGGGAAGGCAGGCTGTTTAGACTTTTGAGTCTGGGACTGGGAAGTTGGAGTTTTATCTCCTTCTTTGGGACTCTGTACACTGTTCATCTCTGTTAATGAAGTTTGGTTACTTTTTCATCTTTTGTTCATATTCCTGTGATTTCCTTCTGTGATTTGTGAGGACTTATCAAAAGGAGCCAAAGATTAACTATTTTGGGGCTTGAGAATATGATGGAATAAAGCAAAATGGCTCACTAAACTATCTGCGCTTCTTTATTATGAAGAAACAGTCAATCCATGTATTTTTCGACGCGATTTTCACTATGGGCCATTCGGAAACAGTTTCTCTGTGTTTTAGTACAGGGGTAAGACTGCGTACATCCGACCCCCCTTACCCCACCGTAGGTGGGAGCCTTTGCGGCACTGGGGTAATGATAATGATGATGATGAAAGAAAAAAATAAAACAAAAGCTTCATGCCTGGATGCAAAGTAAAGGAGTGCTGACATATCTAATCGAATCTGAGCTACTTGAGTTTGAATAATACTCATCCACTGACTTGAACCCAAATGAAACTGCAAGCATCAAAGAGAACCATAAGCATTTCACACATGAATGTTTTTTAGTCCAGCAGAAACCCAAACGGTCTTTTTGCCCATCAAAAAATTAAACAGACCTCTTGTCAGGCCATCATCAAATTCTCTGACAGATTTTGCATTAGCTGCTAATGGAATATTATATTCGCGCCCAATATCTTCAAACAAAAGAGCATGCCTAGGAAGGATAAATTACCATTAAAACATATAGGTTCTGATTCATTCAACAAAAATAAAGGAACTACAGAACTCTGAGTTACTTCTTGAAGATCTTGCTGAGAGCTTTCGCTAGTGCTTTGTCATAAACAATGTTAAAGCCCTTACGAAAATCTTCATCTGCAATAGGCAAGTTGAATGGGTTGCACAAGGACACGGCACCACACAGAGGACAAGAATCAGATTGCTGAAATGATATATAGCGAGAAACAACTGTTGGGCACCAAAGTTGGAATTGAGCATGATAGAAGCAAGCATAAAAGCAAAGGCCAGATAGTAAGGATACAAAATAACTCTCCAGGCTCCAGACAAGTTATGTTTTATTATGTTTCAGCAATAGAAGATACAACTGAAACGATACAATATTTTATCAGCAGAGAGAGGAAACTGTGTGGTCAATCTTTGTTTAGCAGAAAAAGAAAATAATCAAAATATCAATCACAAAATTCTCTCTATTGGAAATTGGAGATAATATTGGGATCAATAAAAAGGCAGCGCGGTGCATATTGGCATCCCCCCAGGTGAGGGTCTGGGCCTCCGGGGAAGGGTCCCACCACAAGGGTGTACAAGGAGCAAGTCTTCCCTTGTCATTTTGACAAGAGGCCACTCCCAAGACTTCGTGACCACTCGGTCAAACAACAACACTGTAACCAGTGCGCCAAGGCTCCCCTTCAATTTTGGGATGTATGAAAAATAAAATAAAAATATAAGTAAAAAAGGGGCAAAAAGAGTAAAATATAAACATTGATGAAAAAATATGGAAGTATATGGATTTCGATTTAAGGCCAACTGGAAAACCAAAAAGAGATACCTGGCCAAGGTATCGAACAAGTATATTTGCTCCAAGAGACCATCCCACGGCATATAAGTTGGCCGTTGGGTAGCAATTGCCAACATGTGCTACCACTTCATGAATATCACCAAGAAATGAAGCTGAATAAAACTGCAAATTCCAAATATGGATCAGCTGCTTTGGACATTTCATCTTCACCCAAAAACATTAATATATTTTAATTTTTAAGGTTAATGTAAGGATATTACAATTATTGCCTGGATTGTATATGAAACTAGTAGTGCATCATCATCATTAAAAAGGGGCGTGAGTTAGTAACTTAGTACCCAACTACCCATGGACATCATTTCCTTATTTGGTTATTCCTAGCAGCCTTTGTCAAAAGTGATATAGAGCTTCACAAAATACTTTAAAGTAAAACGGGAAGTGGAGAGAGGGAGAGATCATATGCTTGAAATTCAAGAGTTTCATATTTAATAACATAGTCTTGGTGATAAAAATAGTAGATGATAATATTGAATCCATCTTTATAAAATAGAGTGGGAAAAAATCAAGCAAGGGTATCAACTACGCATTGTAGAATACGAAGGAAATGACAATATGAGTGACAACAATATTATTGATAGAGAAATATATGCATAAACCCTATCCATGGAAGTTCTCAACATCAATCTTCTTTTCTTCTTCCGTCATGAAATATGTTAAAGGAAATGAAGTGTTTTTTTTTGAGCTGGATCCTCAATGCTCATTTCAACAATTGGTACCCAAAGAAGGAGTTGCTTACTTTTAACACCGGTCATTTTTCTCATCTTCGATTTCTCTATGTATGCAGTCACCTCAATGGCATAGCTGACAAGGGTTTTAGTTACACCAAAGTAGTGTTCATAAGGCAACTTTTGTTTCACGAACATATCCACATTCTTCAAGGTTTTTCAGGGGGAGAACGCCTTTGGGAAATCCCAACTCATTAAGGAGCTCCACAGAATGATCATGATGTTGGCACTCTTCAGGCCCAAAAACAATTTCAGCTCCTGCTCGCTCATCTGCACATGATTTCTTGGAACTAGCCATTCTACTACAGATTCTGATAAAGAATCCGAGTATGTACCGGTGGGGCATTGAAGCATCAGATGAAGAATTTAAATACAGAAAGTAGGAACGAGAAATTCAGAGTTTGGTGACGAGTAGTTGAACTGAAAATGCTAGGTCGGAACTTGGGACAGTTGCCACTTATTTTCTTAAGAAGTAAATAATGTAGAAATTGCTATAAATAGCACATCTACTTTCTCCATCATCCAATCAAGAAAATCACCATTATGCATCTCGTTTTACTTACGATCTCATTAGTCCCCTATCACTTTACATCCATAAATCAGAGCCCATTAAACCTTGAAAATCCTCCCAATTCTCAATAATATTAAGAATTTGCATATAGAAATCCTAATTCATCCAAATTCATCCATGAATGAAGACAAAAAAATTAGCAAAATGGTTCAAAACATCTGATGGATACCTGAGGAGTGGTCACAGGACTATTTCCACAGCCTCTGCTGTTGAAAACCACAACTCGCCAGCCTTTATTTTTAGCTCTCACCAACATATGTCTAACATAAGAGTCCTCGCTTCCCCCAGTCAAGCCTGGCTGCAACATTCTCCTGTTAGCACATTCTTAATTATACCTTTACTAATGCAATCAAGCTCCATGGCGTGATTAGGATGGGATAACATACCAGTAGGATGAGCACGGGACAGTCCGGCGGCAGACTATCGTCTCCAGAAACCCAGTCGAGTGCTACAGAACCATCGTCTCTGGTGCGCAAACACTCTCGCCGAAGCTTGACATCTGGGAGGGTCCGAAAAAAAGCTGCGTAAATTGTCTCCGCGTGCCGATTCCATCCAATTATAGGGTATGGACGATAGGTGTTGTTGTGAAGGGATTTCAATGCGGGAAGGATAACATCTCTAGCTCCGCCAATAACTTCCACTGAGGGGTGAGGAATGACATGGCCAGATAGGATGCGCGTCGTGGATGTTGCCGCAGTAGAAGCTGTGCTGCAGGTTCTGGCATTCGAAATAGAGTATGATGGCTTCAGGGAGAAGCGGCGGAAGGAGGAATAGGTAGGGACAGCGGCTGAGCTTACGGAGGCTCTGGACATTTGCAGCTTGAAGAATGAATGGTTGAGGATATGAACCCAAACGAGAAAAATGTAAAAAAGGTAGAGTGCATCATTTTGTTAACAAGTCGGTTTTTTAGCTAAAAATAAAAATTCCAAAATAGGTACATAAAATATAATTGTAATTAGTTTCTAAAATACTAAATTTTTATAATATTTACTAATATATAATTAAATATAATTGTAATTAATTTTGCGCATTAACATACAAGAAAGTTGCATTTAAAAGGGGGGTTTTCTAATTTGAGCAACTTTTCAAATGTAATACTCCGCGTACATTTCATTAATGGAATCAACACAGTCTTATCAATTAGCACTTTAACATTAAATTGATGCACTCTTATTCGGAATTTTAAGCATTTTTTTATTTAAACAGCCACACATAATTGGATCACAAGTGCATTTATTTTAGTTTAAAACTGTATTTTATTTTAAAAGGAAAATTATTGTGTGCAATTACTGTAATTTAAATGTGCATTTCATTGTAATATAAAGAATGTGATATTGGGATATTATTATTAATAAATTCATATGCACCAAAATAAATTTGAAATGCACTTTATAGAACCGATTAAGTATGTGACGTTGTCATTAGTTTAAAATCCTTTTTATTAATTCAATACCTTGTTAGACAAAATGCACATTTAGAATATTGAAAATGCACATTTGATGTATGTGAAATTCATGATTTGTAGTAGCTTAAAATTAAATAACAATGAACATTATGCACATTTTTAGCTAAAGTGCATAATAGATTAAACAATTTTTTTATACATCGGAATTAAAAGTACACAAGATTAAAATGTGATCTCTTCTAATCCATTTGCATCCTCCCACAAAATTCTTGGCAATGAATGAGGGGCACTATGAAGAACAGTAACGCCTTTTTCAACTTGATGAGACTGGTGGTCTCTGATAGAGGTAAAAGTCTAGAGGGGTGAATAGACTTTTAAATCTTTTTCAACTTTAAAACGTTTATCTCTCTAAAGAATTGATCTATAATCTTTTGGGAGATTTATAGATGCACAGCGGAAGTCTTTAACCTCTTAGATAAATAGTGTATAACACTTTCTTTGATGGATGAAGTTTGGGTTTTAAAAGGTGAGCAGATGGCTTGGCAGTTGGCTAGAAAGTAGGAAACTGCTGAGGCAACTGCTGGCGAAATACTCAGTGCAAGATGACAGTGCACTCAGAATCTTTCTTAGAGTGGGAAGACCTTTCTGATGATATGACAAGGTAGTTTGATAATCAATCTTAATGAGAGTAGTGGTCTCAGCAGTTAGGTGGTAACCAGGGAACTGCTGAGGCACCTGCTGAAGTAAAAGTGAAGGTATGGGAAGATTGATTATGTGGAGTTTCTCAGGATGACGTGGGCTTTCTGAAGATGTGCATTAGTCCAAGTAAGTGGGAGTTTTAGTGGAGCAGTGGTCTCAGTAGTTGGGTGATATTGAGGGAACTGCTGAGGCACCTGCTGGGTTACCACTTCGAATTACAGTGATCAGTTTGAACAGACTTCTTGGAGATAGAGTTTTGAAGGTCTGGTGAAGTGGAGATGTTCAAAGGAAACACTTTTGAGTGAGCAGTGGGCTTAGCAGTTGGGTAGTCACTAGGGGACTGCTGAGGCAACTGTTATGCCTCGAGTAGAATTTCCTGAAATCTAATGGAAGAGACTTTATAGTTGTGATATTGTAAAGCTCTTGTATCTCAAAGAAAGTGAAATATTAAGCAGTAGGATAAGCAGTAGGGTCAAGTTAAGACTACTGCTTAGGATGCTGCTGGCAAACTACAATCTTTTATGAGAAGTGTTCAGTGTGTGCTTTGTTGACTGAAAATAAATCAACACACAGTATATCCTGCTTCATAGGTGGTGTAATCCTCCTACATCCAGTCACACCCTCTTTCAGATGGATTTCACTAATGTATTAAGCTCAATACACTTAGTGCCAATCTAGCCTTGACAACTCTGGCCTAGATTGAAGGTGTTTCACGAGGAGTACAACACCACTCCAAGCTACTCAATCCTTTAGGTTTTTCTCAATTGATCCGGTGGGGATCAAAAGGTACTCCTGACCTGTCTAACCACACTCAGGCCGGGAACAACTGTCCTCCTGAAGTGTTTACAACAATATCTGATGGGTTTACAAGAAAGTTCTAACCTCCAACTAGGAACTAAACTTCTAGGATTTAACAATGAACACTTGATACTAAGAAGTTTAGTGAAGCAAGAGTCTAAGCAGAGAGTCGTGGATAGAATAACACTTTTTCTTTTGCTAGATATTTCTTGAATGCTCAATAGAAGTATCTCTCTACTTAGGATGCTCAAGCTTGGTTTGAAACTTTCGTTTCAGCCTCTATTTATAGGCTTTTTGGTTGATCAATCTTATCTGTTGGTTAGGATAGATTGATCTCTTCCGTTGAATATTGGCGAGGACGATTTGCTCTTCATCTTCTTGTGTTGGAGCTTGATTCTGGACGTGTATTTTGTCTTCAATAATTCAGCCGCTGAAGTATCCCTTCAGAGGCAGTCCCATGTGTGCACTTTAATGCTCTGGACCCCAGTACTTGATCAGCATTAACTGCCTGCAACGTTTGTCTTCAATAATTTTGGGCGCTGAAGTATCTTGTATGCGTGCGTCCTATGCTGCCGCCCTCAGTACTTGATTCAGTATTAAATACCGGTCAATATTTGTCTTCAATCATGTAAATTCAATGTATATGATTTTTGAACCTATTTTCTTTTTGTGACATTTAATTAATCTTTGAGCTAAATAATATTTGCCGGTAGGATCTAAATATCCTATGAAGGTAAATAAAAATTATCTTATTGCATTTTTAGTTTTCCGGTAATATTTATTTAGTCCCAAAAATTGTACATTTACATTTGTCACTTAAAATTGAATGCTATAAAATGAGACACAATGTACACGTGCAAAGTATAGTGACATCATCAAAATATATCAAAATTGGATATGATTTATTTTACAAGGTCCATTAAAAATTCAGTTTTTGGGAGCCGGTGCAGTAGTAATGCTTATGTGTGTGTGTTTGTGTGCTTAAGCTTGGTTCTTTCACTCATTTTATCTGTTTAGAATTCCAATTGAAAATAAAATTAACCACCAAAGTGGTGCATACAAAAAAAAATCTTATTTTAAGATAGAAATTCAATTGTGCTTCTAGCCTGTTAAGAATTTAAGATTAAGTATAGATGAGTTTTGTGGGCTTTAAACCGGAATGCTTTAATATATACTATAGATATGTAGTTGGAATAATTTGACTTAAAAATGGAGTGCACACTAAATAAATCTCATCTTAAAACACCATAACAATTTAGCAATTCACCGCACCTCCCTCTCGATTTAGTTTCATTTTTAATTTTAATATACAAACTAAGTGAACTTCGTATGTGAGAATATTCTATGCGGTATTTAACTGTCTTTTTCTAGAAAATGGGGTTTGTCCGATGACAATCATACGTGTGACGTAACTTGAAATAGAAAAACATAATGATTTTGTGTTCTCCACACATTCTCTATTCCTTTTATTCTTTTAATGGCCATCCTTAATAAAAAAAGAAGTTATTATCAATATAAAAAAAGTTCTCATTTCTACAGAAAAGAAACCACTTTAGAGACCAATAATATGATGTAGAAGGTTGATTTGATCTGAATAAATTGGGAAGAGTACAAAAGTACATCTAATGACAAAGGAGAAAAAATGATAGGACTCATATTTCTACTCTTGGATGTATTGGTAGATATTTCGCTCCCAAATTAATTAGGGGACATGAGAGTACGCCCCACACCTTCCTAGCACCTACAAAACAAGTAGGATAAGTTAACACATAAATGGGGCGGACATATTGAGTTGAGAGCTCAAACAATACAAGAGAGAAATAAAAGAGAAGGATCGTCCCATGTTTGATTGGAATCAAACATCCTACCTATTTTTGTGAACCACATGTGAGTATAAGCATTTGAGAGCTTCTAAACATCTCTCCCTCACCCCATTCGAACTAAAAGGATAAGGAGGAAGGGAGAGCCACACAGCCCAAGAAAAAGGAAGAAGAAGGAGAGCCATCCGCAGGGTAAAAATCTAGTGCGTAGTCCTTCTTGTTCGACTCATATCTTGAGCTTCACTCATCCAATTAAAGCTTGTAAGGTGCCCTCTGAAAGCTCTAGAGAAGAGGAATCCATAGGCGTGCGGTTTGAAGGAAACGGAGCAGTTTAAGGCCTCCAAATCGTCCGAACACAATGAAACCTCGCAAAATACGTTTGTGGTATTCAAAGTAAGTTTGAATCCAAAACCTTCATTTCTATTGCCTAAATCCTTTGAATATTTGAAGAACTATTATACACTGGTTTAAGTGTATACAATGTTATTATATAGTAATTTTTATTGTTGGAAAGGTTAGATACTAACCTAGACAAAACCTTGAAAGGTTAGGGAACGAATTCGCCGAAAAACACCCGTTCTAGGGACTGTTTTCTTGTTGACGTTTAGGGGTTGAGCTAGCACTGTGAAGAGGATGCTTAACACTCATTTTTATGCAAGGAATCAGTTCTTAATCCACCTTGTCCGAAGCTTTGACCATTGGATCAAGAAAGAGAAATTTAAAGCTCATTTAAGGTGAGGATGACCGACTATATTGCTTATAATTAGTGAGTTAATTTCATAATATTGCCTAAAGTATTGATTGTAATTTTCATGGATTATTAATGATTAATAATTCCTAAATGAAAATATTGTTGCATATGAGTAAATGAAGCATGATATACAAATTTGGAGGAAATTGTGTATGATTGTGTATAATGAATATGAGGGCATGATAATGAAATAAATTGTGAAATATTGTGATAAGATATGCTTTTACTTCATGTAGAAAATTCATGAATGGATAAAAGTGATATTGTGACATTAAGATTATTAGATTATGTTTGAAAGGGAAAATCACTTGAGATGAGCAATATGATCATAAATTCGAAATTAGATGTTCTAAGATTATTTGACTAGTATTGAAATACTAGTTGGAATGTT